GTGAGGCTATAATGTATATTGATACAAACAGCTTCATTTCAAGTCATTTTAAATCATTGTCAAACTAATAGGCCAAAAAATATAACAGTTATGTTTCTAGTCTTTGCCTTCCAGCGTCAAAACCTACAGGTACCTGATTCCTGACTGAACAACATAGAAATGAAGTGTATACGTAATGAGTGTTTAAAAATAAGCAACCTCAACCACATGGCCATGTTTTAGCTCTACCTGGGCTGATGACCATGTAGCCTTTATAAAATATACCCGAGTACCAGATAATACTAAAAAAAACAGACTTAATTGACTGAACTGGGTTCAAAATTAATATGCTCCAAAAACTTTTTAAAAAAAACTTAACCGAAGTTAGTAAATAAAACTTAATTACTAAATTTGTTATTTAAACCTAATAGACAAGGAAAAAGCTACTTAAAAATGGAAACTAATATATTATTCAGGCGGCTGTTCAATAACAAAATCTGTCCATTTTATCTCTTAGTTAAAATATGCTGAGATTTAAAATATTCCATTAATTCTCTCATAAAATGTTGTCAATAATTTGGCAAGTTTTCATTAAACACAAACAGAGGAGAATTTTAGCAATTTATGTGTAATGGCTTCTAGTAACACTACCCTTGGGGATTCTTGTGACAATATTTATTCATTTAAAGGGACATAAATTTAAATTTTCAAGTTAATCACAGACTCACTTGTCAGAGTAATGAGATACAATTTAAAGAAGAATTTTTTAAAGACTTTTTCTTGAAGAACAATAATATTTTCAAATATTTCATAATTAAAACTTTTACTTTCATAAGTGTTTTATAGATAACAGGGTATTTTCCCATATCAACAGGGGCCATTATAACCTTTTTTTTTCCCCAATCTTAAAATGGAATAATTCCTAATAGATGCATTCAATTAATTTTTTGGGAAAAAACTAAACATTTTTACTTGATAGTTATGTTTAGGGAGGTCTGGTACCGTAATGGAGTCATTTTCCAAATAATTATTCCAAATGCGAAAAAATCCCACTACGAATAGCACAATGTATTTCTGAGTATATTTCTTAATCATCTTTTGAATATCTTACTGTTTTAAGTTGTCACCAGGCATTGATCTATGTAAGAAATTCAAATCTAATGTTTTTAGGCTTTTGGCCTCATTGATTCCTTTTTCAATAAAAAAAAATTTCAATAAAAGGACATTTCCCATATTAAAAAAAGGCAATCCATAACACCAAAATTTAAAAAGCAGAGTAAAAATATTAGAAAGGTCTTTCTGGTACTTATGGCTGGCCGGGCTAAAAAAACTTTTTCTGGGAAAGTGAAGGCTGGCAATGCTTAAGAAAAGCTCAGTTTTGGTAAAGCTTCAGACTAAGTAATACAATTATATTATATATATCTTATATTTGTTTGAATCAATCAACCAAATCAATAATCTGTAGCGCTAAGAATGTTTTTTGTAAACAAAAATTATTGATATATTAACAAAATATTAAAATATTTTCTTGTTTCCTGACAATGAAATCTTTAAAAAAGAATGGTTTAAAAATGACACTGTTCTAAAGACTGAACACTGTGATATCATGGAGAAATAACATATTATGACACAAAATGCAAGATGGAATTTCCATATTGACATGTACATAAAATTTGTATGTAATTAATAATTATAACCTCTGGCAAAAAAACAATGTTTTTTAATATATATAGTGGCCTTTAGGGCTCTTAACTCTAACAAAGTTATGATAGAATAGTTATTGACCAGGTCATTTATACAATAATAAAATAATTTCTCGTGCTAATTTAATTACAGCACAATAAAAGTTTTAATCCATTTAACTTCTTACACTATACTTAGATTATCTCAACAGAAAATCAATGCCAAGCACACTGCTTTAATCATAAGACCAACAAGATTATTCATCAATTTGCTTAAAGCAATGAGTTTTTATATAATCACATACAGCCTGGATGAATTAGCGATGATATAGTATTCTAATTAAGACATCCCTTGCAAACTAGTAATCTTTTTTATGAAAACCATTACATAATTATATTGTATAAAATAATTTGAAAAAGTGAATGTTTTAATAAGTGTGTTGTTTTATTTCTTATGCTTATCAATTTATCACACAAATATTTCCAAAATTGATAAGCATTATATGGGAGCCAGACTGTGCTATAAAAGCAATTTTATATCACTGATTTAATAAGTAAGATTAATGAATCTATCAAATGCTGTGTGTATAACTTCAGTATATGTAATGATAAGTGTAACATAATTAATGTAATTAAATAATAATAAGAAAACACTTAAGGCTTTTTTAAGCTTATTTAAAAGAATAAGCAGCACGAAATTCATACTGATTTATGTTAATTAATAATCCCACAAAATGTAATCAGTAGTCATCTTTAAATCAGAAGATCATTACCTTGATTTTCATGCATTTTATTTGTTCAATAAATTTTAAATTTTTTTTAAAATTATAAAACAAAAATTTTAAACGGGAAACACCATCAACACCTGGGTAAGTTTAATATTTTTTTTGCCACCAGTTTCCATAATAAAATACTCTTCATTTAGGGTTATTTTTAAAATTTTAAATTAAATTAAAATTTTTCGTAACCTAAATTTGTCAAAGAAAACTAGGGAAAAAATCTATTTATAAATCATATATATGATATCTGAATATTATAAATAACCTCAGCTATATACGAGGGGTTATCCAAAAATTCGTGGACTTTCTTTGTTGCGTTAAATTTATTTGAGATATTAATTTGAAATTCTTACACTGCTTAGAAGAATTAATAACAAATAAACACAGAAAAATTCATGTGAATAGCTTCTTACATTACAACAATATTTAATTTTACATAAACACATGTCGGCGACAGCGGCGCACTCCAAAAAATTATTGACGTCAACGTCATAATATTAACGTACAATTTGTGCTTCAACGTTACGCAGTCAATTTTGACTGTTACTGCTTCTTCAAAGTAATGTCCATTACCAATTTTTTTTATGCCACTTTAACACTACATGATCGTGAAATATTCTTTTCTCTGTTCGTCTGCTGATTTTTATCAAATGTTTCTGTAGGTGTCATTTCAAAATTGCAATAAAAATTTATGATTGTTTTATGATCATGCGATTTTCTAATTATCGCGTGTCCGTCATTTTCCCGTTGTAAACAATAAAGGCGTCTGGCGTTTCTAGCGATATCAACAAAATAAAAGGTAAATGACGTCCATAATTTTAAAGAATTACTTAAATGACATCATAGATGAAACATGCGATGTTCAGCGGGTTTTCTTACACACGTTATTTTTTTAGTTTTTTAGCAAGAAGTATACGATGATTTACAGCGCTTTTCTACCGTGCGCCGGGTGACGTGTATGTGCTTATTTAAAAGCAATATAAAATCATTATTTATTGACATAATTAACTGTTCTTTTCAAAATGTGTTGATAATATTCTACAATGTATGCTGATAAATTTTCATTACAATACACGTTGACGTTCAAGAGATATTTAAAAAGTCCACGAATTTTTGGATAACCCCTCGTACATGTACAATGTACTACTCCAATTAGTGAATATTGTCATAAAATTTGACATTTCTATATATGTACGTGAATCTGACAAGAAGATATATAATGGCTTATATCATTATCATACATGTATAATATTATCATTAATTGAGTCATCTTTTTTGCTGTACATGTAAATGACTTTCACAGAGCTTTCTGTAAATCACAGGCCTTATCTACTAATGATGACAGCAAAAATCAATGTCATAATTACCTTGTCAATATTGTTGTTTTGACAACCTTTATACATGACAGACTTTAACTTTAATTACATGTAATTAAAGTCTGTGTATACAGGACGAGGTACAGGTTTATATCACTAATTGTAGGTTTAAACTTTACTTACAGGGCATTTTTACCCTATCACCAAGGGCCGAAATTACTCACTGCACTAATAGTGCATTCCTTAATCAATTGGATTTATTTTTGGAAAAAAACTCATTTTTCCCAATTTCAAAAAAATCAAAATGTTATAAAATTTTCTGAGAAAAATCGGATTGTCTTTATTTGTTTCTTATTAAAACATGACATGTTATATGATCAAACACATTTTTAAAACTTTAAATCATGTACAAGTTACTTTATTAACTTTTTAAAAATGCCAAAACTTCCCAAAAAGCCAAATAAATTTTGCCAATTTATGCCAGGGGCCTTTTCCCAAAATAGTTGAAAAAGGCCCTAACTAAGTCACTTATTGTCACAATATGTTTTCTATTGATGTCCACTGAATTTGAAGCTGATGACAGTATTCTTTTAGATAAAGTATTTTAGCTTTTACCCATTTTCTTATGTCAAAGATTTTCATTTCATGTAAACATTTGCATATTAAATTTATATCTCTTAAATTTAACAGAATCTATTGAAAGAACATATGAATAGGCAACTTTTTACCCAGTCAATAATAGCACAAATCTTATACTATATATGAAAGAAAACAAACGGTGAAATGATTTATCTTTATACCATTATTAATGAAAAGATATCACCCATAATAAATCAATACAGACGATAAATTATGGTTTTTCATATACCGTGATGTACATCCAAAACGGTTTAACGGTTTCTTCCTGTTTAATTGGTAGTGTTATAAATGTGTTAAACATGTATTGAATGGTGAATGGTTAATATTATAAAATTAAAAAAATGTTCAAGAAATATATTTCACAACTGAACCAATTAACTATTTAAATAGAAACTTTTAAAACTAATTACAGTTCATTATAAAATAAATCTTTATAAATTCACCTAGTTAGAATATAATATCTAATTTGATCTATCTACAGGAGATTTTAGTCATCAAGCCAAAATGTGCGTGGGTTGAAAACTTTACATGTAAATCTGTTTGTTCAATCTATATACATGTACATGACTGTGTTGATGTTGATATTTTACTATTTAAATACTTACTCAAATCCTGCATATCCAAATGAAATTTTTGAAGTTCTAAATATAAAAGTTGCCGTTCTTTTTTGCTTAACGCAAAAACAAAATCTTTGGCAGTGGAGGGTTCCTCTATTGCTCCATGAAGATCCCTATAAATAACTTTATACTTATTTGGTTTAACATCGGCTTGTGCATATTTATGAGCCACTCTTACATTTATCAATGAAATAAAGTTTGTTCCTGTTCTAAATTTGTTAAAACACTTTCCACACTGATGAATACAGTTAACAGCCATTTTTGTAATAACCTGACACGAAATTATTTAAAACAAAATAAACATTACATCATTAAACTTTATTGTTGTCGTCACCTCACATGTTTATCTTGAATGACATTGATCATGTGACTGCTAACCTTAGTCACGTGGATCATTGGGGAGCAGTTATTATATGAAATATTTATTTTTTTTATTTCCGCATGCACCTGACAAGCAGGATTCTATAACCAAAATATATTTATAAGTTAGATAAATTAAAACATTTTATAACATTTTTACATTAGAGCGAATATCTGTATCCAATTCGAAATTAAGAAATATAGAAACTACTGTTGCTCCCAGATTTAGTCATATGACATCAAAATGGCTGCAAACATGAAACTTCTTGCTGCGGTACTTTTGGTTTGTTTTGCAGATTTTACATCTGTTTCAAGTAGTCCAGTGCCCGTTGTAATATGGCATGGCATGGGTTAGTATCATTTTATCAGGAATCCATTCATTTCTGGCGCTGACAATGGTTGTAAGTCGAAAAAACTAATAATGCAGAAATTAATATGCAAGCCTTAGGAACTTGAAATTCTATCAATAATCAATAAAATGAAAAAGGCAAAGCTTTAAAGCGAGCTCGATTAACTTTTATTTTTATTTTACATTTTCCGTTTTAAAATTGTCATTCGGTATTTCATACCTCTGCTTCCGTTTATTCTGGTTACCTGTCCTATTATGGTTCCCATATAAGTGCACAGGACACCAATCTATGCTTCCGTTTTCAATCACAATACCTTGGCTTTTATCGTTATCTTATAATTCGAAAAGTTGCGATGTTGTCACTTCGGTACTTCACACGAAAGTTTTCAAAACCATCACTATCTAACAGGTACCCGCGTTACCGTAAAGCTCGCTTTGCGAGCAGGCTATTAACTATTACAAATATGAAATTAGGCAAAGCCTAATGAACAGGGAAGTCGGTTTTATGAAATTGTTTATTTTCCCTTTTAAACGTGTCATTCGGTATTTCATGCATCGCTTCCATTTTCATTTGGAACACTCAATGCTTATTATAATAAAAAATCCGAATTTGAAGTTGTGATTGTCCAATACCTGAATACCTTGCCTATTATCATTGAGTTACATTGAAAATGGCGGCGCCCAACTAGAACTAACACTGAAAATTTCATTGATAGGTATAAAATTCTATATCTTTTTTTTAATTGTTTTTTATTTGATTTCCTTTTAACTATACACATTTAGTCTATATAATCGGGCAAGCCAAAGCCTGGGACCGGGAAGGCCGTTGACTTCCCCATATAATATTGAAAAAATACTCCCTATATAGTATAAATAAACACTTATCATTAATATTGGTTATTAGATAGAATTTCAAATTCCTGTGCCTTAGATCTGCACCATTTGGACCGGACCATAGATTGTGGTGCATAATTCTGATCCTGTACTGGCTTAGCTAAAGAGACTTCAGCGAACAGGTCTTATAGTACTGCTAGACCTCGCACAATGTCAAAATAAAAGCGACATATAAAGTTTTGGAAGCCAGAACTTAGTACTGGCTTTGTGCAATATTTGCGCGACCTTTGAATATCTTCTGACATTATCCGGTAATGTGGTCTTTAAAAAAAATCAACTCATTTTATCAAATTCTGCTAATAATAATTGAAGTTATAATTTTAAAAATCTGTCAATACAGTTCTTTGTATATTGAAAAAAGAACAAAATTCTGAATGAAATAGAAATGAAACATGTGACTTCACATACTGATTGGTCATAACTAGTAAATGACCCCTATTGATTTTGGGGTCACTAGGTCAAAGGTCATGGTCACAGGGTCCTTAAATGGTAGTATGGTTTATGCTCATTATCTTGAAAGCTATTTATCACAAAGTCTTCATATTTCTAATATTGATTGGTTATAACTATAAGATGACCCCTATTGATTTTTGTGCGCCCACTATAGGGGAAGCATTTAGATTTACCCTTGTCCGTCCGCCCATCCGTCCGTCCGTTCACTTTTTGTGTCGTAGGTAGCTCAAAAAGTAATTGACCTAGAGTCATGAAACCTTACAGGAATGTTAATCAGCATGTGTAGTTGTGCACCTGGGTATTTTCGTGTGGATATTTTTAGTATTTTTAGAATTATTTTCCTTGACTTAGTAAAAATTTGCAATTTTCAACTTGTGTCGCACGTAACTCAAAAAATATTTGACCTTGAGTCATGAAACCTTACAGAAATGTTGATCAGCTTGTGTAGTTGTGCACCTGGGTGTTTTTGTGTGGATATATTTAGTATTTTTAGAGTTATTGCCCTTGAATTAGTAAAAATTTCCAATTTTCAACTTGTGTCGCACGTAACTAAAAAAGTTGCAATTTTCAACTTGTGTCGCACATAACTCAAAAAATATTTGACCTTGAGTCATGAAACCTTACAGAAATGTTGATTAGCTTGTGTAGTTGTGCACCTGGGTGTTTTTGTGTGGATATATTTAGTATTTTTAGAGTTATTGCCCTTGAATTAGTAAAAATTTCCAATTTTCAACTTGTGTCGCACGTAACTAAAAAAGTATTAATTTTGACCTAGAGTCATGAAACCTTACAGGAATGTTGCTCAGCATGATTGTGTTGTTGTGCACCTGGGTATTTTCGTGCGGATATTTTTAGTATTTTAGAGTTATTGCCCTTGACTTAGTAAAAATTTACTATATTCGACTTGTGTTGCACATAACTCAAAAAGTACTTGACCTGTAGGACTGAAAGTTTACAAGAATGTTGGTCAGCATGTGTACTTATGCACCTTGGGGTTTTCTTGTGGATTTATTCAGTATTTGTTGTATTTGCCCTTACTTAATAAAAGATTTTTAGTTTTCAACTAGGGCACAATTGTAGCCAAAAAAGAAAATTGACCTAGAGACACAAGATTGACAAATCGGTGGAGTGTTGGGACACCTGTGTCCTATGGAAACATTTCTAGTTGGTCACTAGTTCAAAGATCAAGGTCACAGGGGCTTTAAATTTCAGAATGGTTTCCCCTCATTATCTTTATAACTATCACAAAGTCTTCATTATTTTTCTTTTTTCTATAACTGAACACTTCCATGTACCCATTTATGGCAAGTTTCTATAACAAAATAACAAATAATGTGAGTCAAGGGCTAGAAAGGGGGGCATTATATAATGTGTCATTCGTCATTTCTTATTCCCTTTCTTTTTCAAATTTTCCCCTTTGAAGTGCTACAGATTGTCTATGTAAGGTTTTCATTAGAGCTCCATCAAATAATATTCTTACAACTAAACAATTATTCCTTTTGCATAAAGAAGATTAAAGGTTCTACCTATTGCATGTTAAAGACACATTATGCTTCAGAAACAAGTTTTCTTTGTTTTCTAGAGGCAGACATGAGTTTCATAATGGTTTTTGAGCATGTTATATATATGCAAATAACCTAAAGTAAGAACTGCTGATATAAAACTATTCATCATAATACATGTAGTAACAAAATGTAATCAGAGTAGTGTTTTGACTTCTATACAACATACAGAATTTATATTTATATACTATAAATTCCTAAAAAGCAATGGAGGCAAATGAGTTATTGGCCAATTAGAAGCTTTTGGAAAACTAGGACAGGACAGGACAGAAATAAAAAGCTTTTGTGAAATAACAGCATTTCTGAGGCATAATGGGCCTTTAATGATAAATACTTTTGGGAATCTTACTACATGTACATTGCATTAATTCAGACCAAACAACAGGTTATTTTGTCATGAATTTTAAAAACCTTTAAATGTTCTGGTATTACAGGAGATAGTTGCTGTAACCCTCTTAGTATGGGCTCCATTAAAAAACTGATAGAGAAAAATATCCACGATGTTTATGTGAGATCATTAGAGATTGGGTCCAGTATTGAAGAGGTATGGTTGTGTAAATAATAGACATATTTATGTTTATCAATTATATCAGCAGTAAAGTAGAAATATTCTTATAATGTTTTACATGTATTTTGTTGGTTTTTGTCACCAAATTCAGTACTTGTATTTAGAATGATGTTGAAATAAACCAATATTAATTTTGAAGCTGCACGCCTCCAGATGAGCCAAAATATTTCAAGAAAATGAAAATTGAGAAAAATGTACTAATATTTCAAGAAAGGTAAAATCAAGATCAATGATAAAGTTTACATATTATTTGCGATTTAAGACTGATTTTGCAGTATTTTATCACCATATTTTTACTGCATTACTAACACAGTAAGGGCTTTTTTGCACATTTTGACCTCTTTTTGGTTATTTGCATGGATTGTAAGTGCCAATTGCAATATGTAAATAACTTTATTTGTTCACCTCACAATATTTTACTGTCAAATACATTATCAAAATTTTCATGAAATTTAACATGAATCTGGAGGCGTGCTGCTTTAAGATTTTAATTTACTAAAATATAACTTTTTAAGATTTGTTAGTTATACATGAGGTTTTAAGTGTTATTTCCTAAAGTGGTTAGAATATTTTTAAACTTGAGAAAAATCTACAGTACTTAAGTATTCAGCAAAGATTTATTTTTATAATTCATTAAAAGATTATGACCTTGTAGAAAAAATGTTTGTTTTTTCATATATTGTATATTAGACAAATGAAAACCACAATCATATTGTCTTGAATTTTGAAATTCTAGTTATCAGATATACCAATATTATAATTTACTATATATCTATGTAAATACAGGATACATTGAATGGATTCTTCATGAATGTCAATGATCAGATCAACATGGTGTGCCAGAAACTTGCTACTGATAAGAAACTTCAATCAGGATACAATGCAATAGGATTTTCTCAAGGAGGACAATTCTTGTATGTTTTGACTTTATTCTGGAAGAATATGCAGAGCTATTGTACTCACCCTGGCAGATGTCAGTGATGGCATCTGCATCACTATCACACTTTGGTTATATTTTTTGGGTGTAAGTTGGTATCTCCAAAATTACGGAAGGAAATTGGCTAAAAATTCACACTTTTTCTTATTGAACATGTAACATAGTGGGCTCAAGTCCCATAATTTTGAGCTATCTTTTTGCAGAGTAACAACCCTTATTTATTGTCAAGCACTGAGAATGGTCGAGCACCCTGTCTTTAAAGACAGCTATTTTTTATTTCTAGAACTCTATCAATGTAAATATATAAGCTACATTATAAGTAACAATTTGGACAATGCCTTAATACAGTCTCAATACATTTTTTTTTGCTTGCCATTATTATCTATAGTTTCATACTTATAATTTTGAAGGTTAAGGGCCTCTTTGGGTAAGATGTTAGTGTAGCTGACTTTAAACCACCTACCTCTCACCACTATAATGTTTAAATCCTTCCTGGGACTTTAAGTTTTTTCATCTAAAGAAGCTATCAGTCTAGCTTTTGGAACATTAATTGTTCAACTCAGAATGCCTTCTCAGACTTATTTCTAGTATTCAAATAAATTTTTTGTTACCTTTTTAAATTAAAAACACTTAAACCTACTTTTATACACGCATAACCTATTTGATTTAAACAATTTCAGGAGAGCTATTGCTCAAAGATGTCCAAGCCCTCCAATGCTGAACCTGATCTCAGTCGGTGGACAACATCAAGGTAATTTTCAAATTCTTTGAACCTCAAATATTGAAGATTAAAGATAGTGTGATGATTGAATGACTCATAGCCTGCTGGTGGCAACTGAATATACCAATTTATTACATGCTTTTCAATGGTTTATAGAAATATATCAGTGAAATATATCAGTGAAATATATCAGTGAAATAATGGCCAAATTGATATTTTCACTGTTTTGTATTTAAGCCTGTTTTGTTGTTCCAGTGAAATACCAAGGAGCACAGTACTGGAAACCAAAATAATGATTAGAGGTTGTTTAATGACGTCACATTGTATTATTATTTGGAACGCTTCGCTGTTTAAATATCTTTTTAAACGTTTCTTTGCATAATTATAATAAAAAGAAAATTTGTTTAATTTAGTGAAAGATTGAAATATATTTCACCTCATGAACACCAAAAGTTCACTCGTGAAATACACCTTTTGGTGCTCACTTGGTGAAATATTGTCCCATCTTACACTGTACTAAACAAATATCCCCTATATCTTGGTCTGCACTGTTGGCCATTCAGTCAGTACATATTTTGAAAAATGATCAATGGTTTTGGCAAGATCAAATGATGGTAGGTATGGTAAGGGTTAGTCTAAACTATATTTTATATATACTCTTCTCATTTACAAAATAAAATACATAAAAATAAATTTTGTAAATTTTATGTATGGAGAAGGAAGCTTTTTTAAAAAACCCTCCATGGTAAGGGTTACCATCACTGTGTTTTGATTTACAGCAATATCCATAGGCTTTAAATATTTATAAGCATATCTACTAGTGCATCAGCTGTTTCAATCTGTGTTAAAATTTTGTCTGTATAATGAATTGCTATGTAGGTGTATTTGGCTTCCCTCATTGTCCTGGAGATAATGAGACCTTGTGTGAATATGTCAGGAAGCTGCTTAACTTTGGAGCTTACAATGAGTGAGTTATTTCCCAAAGAAACAGCACCAATCCTAATCATATAATTATCCAGCCTTCCAGCACTATTTCTGTATATCATGGGAGATAAATACTATTTATACTGACTTTAAATCTTACAGATTTCCCTCCCTTTGGTAAAAATATGCATAAGAGTTATAGAACATTTATGGTACATAAGAAGTACATGTTGAGAAATGGTCAATACATTGTTAAGCTATTTGGTTTAAGTTAGAGTAACACATTTTCACATCAGCTTAATTTTTTTTGAATTTTTGAATGGTATTGTATACATTTGATAATGAATAGTATGGCATTTCCTAGTCAAATACAAAATTTGCCTAGGTTTCATTCAAAGGTCTTCAGGGGTATAAATAAACAAGAAATGGGATAAAAATGAAAATTATTTAAAAGGAGAAAAAAGAAGGCTTAAACATGGTGTATGCTTAACATACAACTCTGTCTTTAATTCCTTACCAATTAACAAGACAAAGCTTTTGGGTTTCATCTTCAGTGCATTGATAAATAGCTTATGTTTAATGCCAATTTAGCTCAGTGCCGAACTATAGTATTTATGTAGTGATAGTACTTTTTTGAAAGCTCCTCACTGTTCCTCGCCATCAAACTGCACATGCACTTACCCCCACCAAAGATAAATGATAAAATCTCAAAAATGCCATTCTTACTGTTCTTTTTTTTCTCAATGTTTTCCAAGATATTTGTAGAGATATTGAGAGATACCTTGCAAGAATATGTGCAATCCTAATTCCTATACCTATCTTACCCATGTATATTTATTTTATCCATACTTGCACATTACTTCCCCAGGTGTATTTGGTCTCCCACACTGCCCTGCAAGTGCAACAATATGCGAGTATGTAAGAAAACTGCTTGACAAAGGAGCCTACATATCGTAAGTTATTTTTTGAAAGCTTGCAAGGTAAGCCTTCTAGAGAAGGTTGTTACGTCATAACTCGATGGTTTTAAGTTGTTACTTCATAACTCGATGGTTTTAAGACAGCAATGATGATATTTCTGTGTTGTAGACATTTGGAAAAATTTATGAATTGATTTCATACTTTGATCATTATGTTTTTAAATATTGATTTTTGATACAAAAGAAAGTAAAGCTGGTACATAAGTTCTTATAGCATAAATGTATTTGTTTGTAAACTTTTGGACATAATTATTATGTACATGTATTGAAAAGTTTAGGCTGTTTATAGGCTAAAAATTGTTAAAAATTCTATTAAGTTAGTGGGCTCAAGCTTTCACTTTATGCCTTTACTATTTTTTCCCACCATTATCCTAATATATTAAAATAAAGTGTTGTCAATATTTGTACACTTTTCAAAATTATGGTTTGGCTAACTTGCATTTGATTAAGATTCAATTAGATTTCCAAAAAAAGTTAATTCCAAATCAGGTCATAGCACTTGAATGCATAAATCAATAAATGATTAACTGCAGAAATTTGTAGTTCTAATGTAGAACCGCATAAAATTTAATAACAATGTGTTACATTTATTTAGTGTAAGCTAGTCTCTATGTATAACTGAAATAAAATATGTGAAGTTGGGATGAAAAGCAATAATGAATATTTCTTTTTTAAGAAAATTAAAATTATTTCTATTCTAACACTCGAAGCTTGTTGTTATTGTTGCAATATCATGATTAGAAGAATATTATTTTAGGATACATGTTTTATCGTACTAAACGTTTAAAAAGAAATTTAAAAAAAAACATCACTTTAATTTATTATATGTTGTTGTTTTTTTCCAGTGAAATCCAGAGCAGGTATGACACAGTTTATGTTTGATTACTTTAGTTAAAAAGTGTATTACATTTATTATATTCTATTCAGGGGAAGATTAATAAATAATTATATTGTTATGGTAACCATAATAATCTTAAAATCATACCATTTATCAAAAGCCATCATCAATTTCAATGCAATCAAAGCTGTTTACTTGCTATTTTTATTACCAATTTCATTAAAACCAGATCATTGTGTTGGCTCCATTGTTCTTAACTTCAAAGTTAGGATATGATTTTAATGATATTACTCCATTACTCTGCTACAACAGGCAGGATACTGAAAAAAATCATGATAAGATTACTTGAGCTGCATCATGACAAAACCAACATAATGGGTTTGCGACCAGCATGGATCCAGACCAGCCTGTGCATCTGCGCAGTGTGATCAGGATCCATGCTGTTCTCTTACCAACTCTTTACAAGTAGAAAAACTGATAGCGAACAGCATGGATCCTGAACAGACTGCGCAGATACGCAGGCTGGTCTGGAGCCATGCTGGTCGCCAACCCATTATGTTGGTTTTGTCATGGCACGTTTCATTTATTATATTTTCTTACAGACTAGTTCAGGCAGAATACTGGCATGATCCCCTCAATGAGAATGAGTACAAAGCAAAGAGTGTGTTCCTGGCTGACATCAACCAAGAAACAGTAAGTTTGTTTAACTTAACCTGCTGAAGTTCTAAAATGGACTTGCCCAGTTTCCCTTTTTTGGAACTGTCCATTTTCAGTTGTGGGGTGATCAGTATGAAAATTCACAGTAAGCCCAAGTATTGAGCCGGCTCAAATTGCAAAGATAGGCTGACAGGCCTACCTCTATACTGATGACAAAGGACAGTCGCGTTCATTTCTAGCAAGAGCAAAGGTTTGATTTTTTCTATCAAATGAACAATGGGTAATACATTATCACAAGCAGGTGAAAATTCAGCATATTTTAGCACATCTAGCATCGTTTAAAGGTTAAATAAGCATAAAATAATTCATACAGTAAATGATGAACATTGCCAAATTGTATATTTCCTACACAAATGTTTGTTAAAGGAAGTGGAGAATGGGGCCAAGTTTTATTTTCTACGTATAATTACTTTACATTGTATTATTATTATTATATATTAAGTTAAAATATACTGTCTTTATAAATGTTTTGATTGGTAAATAAAAGAATTGGCCAAAAAAATACAAGAAATTTATAAATTAATGTTACATACAATTGTATGATAAGTGAAGAGGCAAGATTTTAATTGAACCAAAATTTATGAGGCATAGCATGTTTACATTGTTCTTTAAGAAAAATTATGTTCTCATTTAGACTGTGAACCAGACCTACAAGACTAACCTACAAAAGTTGAAGAATCTTGTACTTGTGAAGTTTCTTCAAGACACCATGGTAGAGCCCAGGGAGAGTGAAGTATGTATAGATGTAATATACTTCACTTTAATAAAATCTTTTATCATTATCATCAATAAAGTGATATTTATAATATACTTATAAATGAATGAAATATTGATGAAATTAAATGTGTATTTCATTTTCTGTATTTTCACTGTAAAAATTTATTTTTCACTGCAGTGAAACATATTTTCACTGGTATGTGTCTCACCAGACTACTTTCTCCTAAATTCAGCCAATACACACAATGTAAGGGGAAGTTTTCCAATTTGAAAGGTCAAAAATAGAAAAATGTATATAATAAATAGAAAATTCAAGATTTTTCAAGAGTTATTTTCATTTTTTGGTATGAAAATTATCATATTTCATTCATGACTACCACCAATTATTTTTTTTAATAAACGAAAAGTAGTATCATTTATTGTGTTTATGTTAATAATAATGGATATATGAAAGGATAGTTTGTTATTTTAAGGCTATTGTTTTTTTTATTTCAGTGGTTTGGGTATTATAAACCAGGACAGGACAAAGACCTGTATACAATGTTTGAAAGCCCTCTCTACACTGAGGTATGCTTAATTGTTTATGCTACATATGAAACATTAAATATTGTATGATAATGTACTTTATATTGTCATTTTCATAAATGACATTTAGTATCTCCTGTTATTAAAATCTAACTCTGTAGTATAGTCATAATTGCATCACACAAATGCAGTAGAAAAAGGATTAGTGAGCCGTACCTTGCATTTTGGGGCCTTCGGTTGCTATTTTGTTGCCATTGAAAAGGATGTGTAAAGAAGAGTCTTCAAAAGTTGGTTGCAAATGTAAATTTAGAAAACAAAATACTGAAATTAACATATCAGTGATGTTTGTTTGTTTTCCATATTGGTTCTTCATTTATACATTTATATAATTTCAGGACAAGCTTGGTTTGAAGACGCTCAATGCCACGGGAAGGCTTCACTTCCTGAGCTCCGACTCGGACCATCTGCAGTTCACAGAGCAATGGTTCATTGATAACATACTCAACAAGTTTCTGAAGTAGTGTGCATACAAAAATAACAATTTCAGATATATCTTTTTCCCTTGAAATTGACTATTTTAGGACATATGTCTGCTCAAAAAAAATCGAAGCACTAATTAATGTCTTATGTACATGTATATATAAAAATTATGACAAAGAAATACTTTTATAACTGTTAATTTATTTTCATTTGATTATCCTATTTGAATACACCTTTACAAGGATATTCTCTTGTCTGATTCCCATTTATTGTCTTCTTTGTTTTGTATATTTTGTGTAATCATGGCCATGTGATGTAATATTTTATGAAAAAATTGTTTTGTATATTTATTAAAATTTGCATGACAATGTATTACGTATAAGTCTGAAATAATTTGTTTGTTCTCTTGAGTGTAACATTATTGTAATATTTACTGTGAAATCTTATTTTAATAGTTTGAATGAAATGATTCAGGACTGAAAAAAAGTTCAAGAAGGACAGTATTAAAAAGTATTGCCAATACATGTATTGACTTTATTCACCCATCACATTGTCATATGTTTGGATGGTATTAGGTTTAAATTAAGTATTGATTTCTTTGTGTTATATGTTCTAAATAATATTGTAAATTTATATATAATAACTTTTTTAGCTGACTAAATTTATTTAAAATTTAAATCATTGTAATTAAAATTTACTTTTGATAAATATTCTTTTGATTAAGATGATTTAATATCTGCATGGAAGTTTGTATTATTTTTTTATTCTTTTTTACCTTGCAAAACAAAATAATGTGGCTTGTTTATTGAGAAAAAGTCTTGGCTTTACTAGCAAAATTAATTTAATTTCTCCTATGTGTTAAATGTTTTTTAGCATGAGATGGTCGAAATACCACAATATGTGTGCAATAGATTATTCAAATTGTAATATGTCAATGGACTTTGAAATCCTGTTTCAAGATCAGGTGGTTAATAGGTGCGTTTAACTTGTAAACATGAGAAGATATGTGAACTTATGTCAGATTACCTAAATGTTAAAATTAATAGTGCAGAACTTATAACCAAATTAAAAAATCAAAGTTGGGAGTCTCTAATATCCACCATTTGTAATATAATTGTGTGTATGATACGCATTTTTCAAACTCCTGACAAGGGTTTCATCACACTTTGCTTCGATAACCCACTTGCCATCACTGTAACACACGTGTTAATTGGTATGTCATGTGATCGAAAATGGTGGCCATTTAAATACTTCCGTTATTAATACAATTGTCTTAATAATACATTTATTTTTTACTTTTTTGTACACAGTAAATAAATGAAAGAAACTTAAAATGTAAAAAAACGTTAAAAAATTTGATAAAAAAAGTGAATAAGCTCCATAAGGAATGTTAAAACATGATGTATTTCCGTGTCTCTGGCCAAATCTTTACACGTGGTGTTGATGGTTTCTGGACTGGTAATGGGAATTAACCTCTGCAGGGAGTTTTTATAATTGTATTATCTCTATGTAATATTTGATTTTCTTGTGTGTGTTTTGATTATTCTATGTTAAACTCTTCATAAACATTACGAATACTGATATATAAATATTTGATTTTCATTTAATAAAATGCTTATTATATAGGTCCAAATGATATATTTGTACCGTTCATTTCATAAATTAAATAGAATTAGGTAAATAGTTACCTCACAACAAGTCAAACAAACATCATTGTTTTTAGATTCTCCACATTTGTATAAAAATAGTATCCTTTTTTGTAAATTGTTTATTTTATTTCATGAAAAGCATTATCATTTCACTGCTTTGATTTTCAGATTTGTAAAAAATAGACTCAAACTTGATATGTTAAAAGATTATTTAGATATATGACAATACGTACTGGTAATTCTTTTTTTACCATTATGTAAAAATAATTTTCTTAAATTCGTGACAAAGTACTTTTTTATTTCTTTTTGGTTTAGATGTCACATGTTTCAGTTGGTTTATTTTAAGTGTAACAAAAGCAGGTTACAAAAATCTTAACTCTAAAAATAACTGCTGGCTTTTATAGATTTCATTAACTTATTACATCCCAGTACAATATGTGTTTTATTTCTCTTTTATTTAGTAAACATATTGGATGCAAAATATTGCCTCGTTTCAAGTATTGTATTAGTATACTATGACAACATCAATCATACATGTTTACTGTTTATTAATAAAAAAGGTGATATATTTTTTGTAATTTTTTCAATGTTTTGATTTGTTTATCTTGCACTGTGATTCTTAAATAAATTTCAAAGACAGAATAAGAATTTATTATTTCTCCTAATATATAGTCTTTTACAGAATAAACCTCTGTGTTGGAAAACAGATAATTAAAATCTATTTGAATGTATGGAAGTGGAAAAAAAGAGATTTTAACAATTGGACACACAGTGCTTCTTCAAAATCTCAGTCTGTCTGCCTTCAAACATTTAACACTGATTTTGTTCAAAGGCATGCAAGCTATGACATAAATTATAAAAATATTAGAATAGTTAACGCATTATAATTGAGCATAAGAAGAAAAACACGGAACATTTTGATTAAAACGTATACATGTACAAGCGTCAAATTAGTTTTCAAACACATGAAGTAAAAGAATGACCAGGAATTCGCTAAGGAGAGAATGTTTATTGTATTGTTTCATGTACATAATCGACTTGGATTCCTTAATGTAAAAGGATTTTATCGGCACTGACTTCAGTATCTATTGATAAATGCTGATTACAGCAATATCATATATGAAACAAAGGAGGAGATCTTGAAACTTAGCTATTACCGTAATCAAGTATATAGTGTGCGAGTAACACAAACAAGCCAAAGATGTTAAACAAGGTTTGGTAGAAAAAACATATACCAATGTGTTCTCGTGATTCTTATCTAATATTGTTTGAATTTTGTTACTTTCAGAATTTTTTAAAAAATCTTCTTTTAAAGAACTGAAAGAGCTAGAGCTAAGATATTTGGCATGAAACATCTTCTAGTAAGTGTCTACCAAGTTTGTTCAAAGAAAAGCCCTGGGGTCAAAATTGGCCCAGCCCCAGGGGGTCATTAATTTTCCCTATATGCATATAGTAAAAACTTAAAAAATCCTCTTTTACAGAACCCAAAGAGCTAGAGCTTAAATATTTAGCATGAAACATCTTCTAATGGGTATCTACCAAGTTTGTTCAAATAAAAGCCCTGGGGTCAAAATTGGCCCCCCCCCCAGGGGTCATTGTTTTTCCCTATATGCATATTGTAAAAACTTAAAAAATCTTCTTTTAAAGAACCGAAAGAGCTAATTTAAAAAAGCTAAGAATTTAGCATGAAAACATGTTCTAATGAATGTCTACCAAGTTTGTTCAAATATGAGCCCTGGGGTCAAAATTGGCCCCGCCCCGGGGGTCAATGATTTTCTTATATGTGTATAGCAAAAACTTAAAAAAACTTTTTGAAAAAAAAAAAAACCCAAATAGCTAGAGTTTAGATACTAAGCATGAAAACAACATCTTCTAGTGAGTGTCTACCAAGTTTTCAAATAAAAGCCCTGGGGTCAAAATTGGCCCCGCCCCGGGGGTCATTCATTTTCCTTATATGTGTTATAACAAAAACTTAAAAAATCTTCTTTGAAAAAACTCAAATAGCTAGGGTTTAGATATTAAAGCACGAAGGCATCTTCTAGTGAATGTCAACCAAGTTTGTTCAAATAAAAGCCCTGAGGTCAAAATTGGCCCCGTCCCGGGGACATTAATTTTTCCTTATATGTGAATAGCAAAAACTTAAAAATCTTCTTTGAAAAAACCCGAATAGCTAGAGTTTAGATATTAAGCATGAAACATTTTCTAGTAAGTGTCTACAAAGATTGTTCAAATAAAAGCCCTGGAGTCAAAACTGGCCCTGCCCTAGGTGTGTCATTGTTTTAATCTATATGTGTAAAAGAAAAAACTTGAAAATCTTCTTTTAAAAAACCCAACGAGCTAGACCTTAGATGCTTAGCATGAAACATCTTCTAATGGGTGTCTACCAAGTTTGTTCAAATAAAAGCCCTGGGGTTTAAACTGGCCCCGCTCCAGGGGCCTATATACAGGTGAGCGACTTCAGGGCCATCATGGCCCTCTTGTTGTCAGTAACATCTATAATCGAAATGTGCATGCACATTTTTCAGTTGTACCCATTTCTTCAACAAATGCAGATACAGATGATGTTGATGTTTGTAACAAAAAATCTTTATGGCATAATACCTTTCAGATGGGCAAGTCTTTGAAAAATGTTAGAAATTATTCACTTTTCAGTGAATACTCACAATTTAAGCAAATAATATTTCGATATAAGAAACTCATGTTCATGTTTGTTAAAGTTCAACACGCATGTAAATAATAATGCAATGCGAAGTCAAATTGCAATAGAAAATGTTTATTGTTGTTGCTTTGAAAAAAAAATAACAAAAAATATCAAAACATTAAGGTGGGATGAATACAAGTAATTATTTATTAATGATTACAATTCACATAGGTACTGTTTCAGAACACACACAAAAAAACTGACAAGAATATTGTCCAGTGTGGCCATCTCTAAACATTATAAGTAAGGATAAAAAACTTAATATCAAAGAAACAATTTTCTATCAATAACATATGATAGATAATGCGTTAACATAAAAATGACATTCTGTTGCTCATTTCATTCTTTTACAAAATTAATAAATTACTACTTACGTACAGCTTTGAAACGCTTTTGTGCCCATTAATTTTCACCAACATGTTGTTTTCCTAAATAAGTAAATAAAATACCATGCTTGAAGGAAAAAAATCCTTAAAACTCAGGAAATCGGGAACTAAATGAACCGATTTGGTTTCAATATATTTAGCTTAACTAAAAGTCACTTTCACAAAGCGGTTCATGTAATAGACGTTAATAAGAAACAAAACCGATTTTAACATAAGGGTAGAACGTAGAATTTTGTTTTTGTATGGCTGAATAGGGATTGGTGTCCTAGTTAAAGCAGCGTTCAAGAATGATCACAACTGCAATGATTAAGCGCATATCATAGTAATCTTACAAATAACTTGTATTTGAAAATGTAACAATCAGATCAGAGTCTTCAACGCAAATTCTGGCTCGACATCCTTCTTCAGGGGCTCCCCATATAAGTGAAAACTGCAGATATAACATGTATCTTTGTGTTCGCAAATTGAAGAGAACTGATTGGTCTTTACTTAAGATGAATTCAGACTTAGAAAGCTCAACTTGTTCACAAAGATAAAGTTTAGTTATGATGAACATTTGATATTTGGGATGCATTAAATTTCTATATTACTGGTCTGTACTCTTTGTTTGACGATTTTCCTTGATTCGTTTCCGAAAACCCACATTTGAAATCTTTTTTTATCCGTAAGACATTTAAATTAATGACACAGACGGGCAA